GCCAATCAGTTGGCCACTCATATCCACTTCCCTGCGCCTTACGCACATACAAATAGAAAACATAGTCCTTACCCTTGTGAACCTTTCATAGACCAGTGGGAGAAATGGGTGAATAAGTTAATGACAATGGTCAAGGGCTTTAATTATACAATAAATCATTTCAAGAATGTTTTTATTATTTACCTCCAAAATCTAATATAAGTTAGATGCTATTCTAAAAACTGTGAAATGCAGAAATGGTATTCAAAATCATGAACAGATAATATGACATAGGCAATAGCCATAAGCAGGTAATGGCTATAAACATATCTGCTAATAAAGAGACGAAAAGTATACAATGGGTACACAGAACCTACCTCGGATGTCCATGGTCTACCTTCAAGCAAAGGAAATACAGTATGCAATGTGCTAAATGGTGAAAAAAAAAAAAAAAAAAAGAAGTGTGAATGAACATGGAGGAGGGAGGGACCCTTTAGATGTGAAGGTCATAAAAATTTTCTTAGAAGAAATATCATAAAGTCACTCTTGAAAAATAAATAAATAAATAAACAAAGGATTAAGGAATTTGTCATGTGGATAAGGCAGGGCTCATTCTAGAGAACTAAATGTACAAAGGCTCAGAAGAGTCTCAATTACTTCTATGAATTTTTTCACTTAAAATTTTTGAGTCACTAAGATCCTTAGGAATGGCCTATTTTGTAACCAGGACATTGAGGGCCAGAGAAGAGATTTGCCCAACATCACACAGTAAGTTGATACATCAGATCCTGAACCCATTTCCAATCAAAACTCTTGCCACTCAGGATTCCTAACTAGATATTCAATTTATTAGTTGACGGTGCAGCTGACTTGTCTGTTCCGTCAAGTAGAGAAGCTTCCACCTAGCTTGCCATTCATTCATTGAAGTTACTAACTGGTTTCTCTTTTGTTGTTGTTGTTCCTGTCATCTAAGAAAAAGTAAGAAGAGATAGAAAAGAAAAGCACTCAAATCGCAGATAGAAAATTGGAGAATCTTAACTTAAACAAATGCTTAATTGAATAGCTGGCCCATTGTGTTGGATCAGAGATGCTTCATTGGTTTAGGAGAGAAATTTCTGGCAATTAAAGTCTAATGGCGATTGTGGATGTTAGCATGCTAGATGGGTTCCAAGAATAGAAGGAGGTTGAGAGCAGGGAAGGAGTGTGTAATCAGAGTACAAAGCAGGGTATCCCTTTGAGAAGTGGACACTTGGCTTCTTCAGATAATGCTGGCCTTGGCCAATATTCCACTTATTGACTGGTCTGTCTAGAAAACAAAGAAAGTATTACGTTTAACAGAACTCTTAAGAAAATGAGAATGATCTCACCTCAGGCTTACCCCTAAAATTAAAGCCTCCACCAGCAACTCATGAATGAGAACTACAAATAGGCAACAACCTAATCAGTCTTTGGCAGAGAAGTTTGTGCAGAGGTGGTGTTTACAAGCATTCATTCTGCCTGTTCACGTGGAAAAAAGTGCTTGCAATATCGAGAAGGATGCAACAGTAAGAGATCAGATGCCAAGAGGTATAGCCTCTGCCAAACAGGAAGATAAATGGTTGTTAATTTCCATAAACATCCTTTGCTGTAATGTCTGGTGTGGTTTGATTGCTCAGTTCTGACTGTGATGGCCACCTGGATGGAAAGCAGCCATAGGGACCTTAGATAAGTCATTTCTTCTTGGGACTCCTTTTCTATTCTGTGTAATGGATGTGTGGGACACAAAAATTCAGTTTCCTCCTCAGATTCTATGGATGAAAAAAGAACTTAATAATAGCACAGCATGCCAAGCATTCATTTATTCCTCCATTACTTCAACCACTCAATAAACATTTATTGAACTTCTATAATACAGAAGGCTCTGCTAAGCACATGACAATCAAGTATGAACATTGACTGCAAGTGCATAAAAACTACACATACACATACATAATTACACCTTGTAGAAGCAATGAATGTTCTAATAGAGATACAAACACTATAGCCTGTGGAAGCATTTCTTGTGGTAGAAGTCTGTCTAGGAAACTCCATAGTTAAATTAGGTCAGAGTTGGGCAATAAATGGACATGAGATAGAGATAAAGTTTAGCATAAGCAAAGATTTGGGTGCTAAAGAGCACATGGTATATGCAGACCCATTTGCCTAGAATAGAGGCTGCCAAAGGTCCAGGAATGGAAAACACCTTCTTGTCAGCGCCATCCTCACTCAAATACCAAAGTGTGGCTTGAGAGATCACATACCTTTTTGGAGAAAACTCTTTTGATGACTGGCCTCTTCTTAAGATACATAAATAAAGCTAATTATCCCTTCTCTCCCTTTCTTTCTCTTTTTAGTTGCCAGAGGGTATGTGTACTCACCAGAGGGAGAGTAAGTGGGAGAAAGCACCATGAGACATGCTCACACTACAATCTCTTTTCTCCATTCTTGCAAGATAAGGGGCACACAGGGACATATGCCTAGTGTGTTTTTCAAGCTTTGGGGGCTGGGGAGGAGGAGTATTTGAACTGTGGTGAATAATGTGATATCTGTCTCTCTTAACCACTAAGTTATGGGGCCACCCCACCACCAATCAGCCCTTCTTCATGTTATCAGAATATACTTCTATGATTGTTTCTAAGATAATATATAATAATATTCTTGTTTGTCAGCTCTACTACCCTGCTTCCTGTCTTGACAGTCAGCCTTGCTATATTTGGCTTCGATTTTCCTGTGACTGGCTAAGTGACATTTAGTAGACACTAATGAACCTTGTAGAATACTAAGGAGTCTGGGGACGTGGTGGTGGGTATGGGACATTCACAGAAGAAGCCATATTTATCATCCAGTTTTCAAGCATCTTCTCTTATCTAAATTGACACATAATTATAAATATATATTGATTATGTATTATATGGAAATATAGTGTATATGCCTCATGACAATTATACACTATTCTAATACCTTAGTCCCTAACCCAGGAGATAAACTCAGTAGACTTAGAAAAGCCAAGAGGCATGGAAGCATTCACTACTGGTTGAAAGACACAGCCTCAAGCTACTGAAATATGCTTTGGCGAAAGCACAGAATTAAAAACTTCCAAAACGACCGACATTTGAACTAGCCAAAACCGTTTAAAAGTTCAAATGAGCTGTCGCATGACTTGACTATTTAAGGGCTTTCTTGCTGTCTGAGAATGTCCTTCAGCTGATAGTCCTAGAATGCCAGAGCGACCATGGGGATGACTAAATTGTATTCTCCTTTTTGTCCAGAAGGGGAAACTGAGGTTCACAGTAATAATAACCCTGGGGACAATGCCATTTAGTATTGAAAATAGGGGCATAATTGAAATCTCCATTAGTAACAAATAAAAAACTCAAAGATCTTTCTTAATTAGCCCTACAGAACAAAGAAAGATATTTTCCATATTCAGATACGGGAGTCATCCCTATACACATGAGGTAACAATCTAATAGGGCATGAAACATCATTCGAATATTGTTGTACTGTATTCATGGACAGTAAAGTGGAAAAAACTACAGAGCACGGCCTTGTCACCCAAACACTTCCCAGAGGTGTCCCTTTGCTGAAGTCACATTACTTCTCTAAACCTGTTTCTTTTTTCTTTTTTTTTGAGAGGTTTTTGCTATAGGGCGCGTGTGCACCCCAGACAGAGAGAGACATAGAGACAGAAAGCGAGAAATCACCCTCCAGGAGGGATGGTCACGCCGCAATCCCTTCTCCTCCATTCTCCTCTCAGGATCTTGGGCACGCACGCACACGCGCCTGGCGTGAGTTCTAAGCTACCAGGTCCCGGACACGAACCGCGGATGACTACGTGGGAATGCAGCGACATAGCCATTACGCTAACTGCTGGTCCCTAAACCTGTTTCTTCATCTGTACAAACGGGACTCTTGCACCTCTTCACATTTATATTGTAGGGATGTAATGTAGTACTGCTCAAAAGGTACCCTGCACAGCACTGAATACTCACAGTCTTACTAAAGGAGGGCTGAAGGGCAGCTACAGGTTGTGTGGTGTTTCCTTTTCCTCCACCATCACAAACCGCTATGTGTTGCAACAAGCCCAGAAGTCCCTCCAGCGAGGTGACGTGCTACTTCCCCACTCCCTCAAATGCCCCTGTATGCCCTGCGGATACTCCATGCATGCTAACCACCAAGCCACGGATGACTCAGAGTTTGGAAACCATCCACAGCAAGCTGGAGAGGAAAGGCTCTGCTTAAGGCTCAAAGAGTAAGTTGTTACCTTTTACTATTATTCTTAACTATTTTTCTTAAAGGAAAGGCTGTGCTGGGCACTTGTTTCAATACGGAGAGGAACGGGGACCCTTCCTTGGGAGACTCAGCTGAGAAGACAGCGGACAAAGATGCCTTTGGCAACTGGGCAAGGCTGGCTCCCACCTAAGAACAGTGGGACTGATCTGTGCTTCCAGCTCGATCCCCACCTGCTGGGAACTAATCCTGGGTTATCTCTCTGCTAGCGCAGAGAAACCTGAACCGCCCCGGGCTTCAAAGGGTTTTATCTCCTCTTTCCAGGAACTGGGCTCAGCTCTGTGCTTTCTCCGAGGTGCCACTAAGCAGCTGCCATCCAGAGCCCAGGCGAGCCCCGGTCGGTTTCCAGCTTGCGGGAGTAGGCTGCCGAGCCAGGGCGGCTGATCCTGCTCCCTCTCGCTCATCGGGCTTCTGTCTCACATATAGAAATCCCGTTGGGGAGCAAAGCAAAAAAATCACACTTCACTCACAGCTCCTCTGTGTTGGGGGCAGGAGGCGAGGGAACGGGAATTCCTACTTTCTCCATAAATTGTATGCAAATAGGTTCCTTCTCTGGCCAGGAGCCGGGAGTGAGTGCGTCTTTCATGAGCTAACCCTGTTCCGCTGGGAGGGCTGTTCCTTTAATTCACCAAATGAAAAAGTGGGAAAGGATGTCTGGAGGCGAGGCGTCCCATTACAGAGGAAGGAGCTCTCTATATAAGCCAGCCAAAGCTGGCTGCATTGGCCACAGTCTGCCTACTGTCAGTGGCCTCTCCCGCGCAGACACACGTCCCGCCTCTGGTCCTGGTCGGCACAAAGACAGCCCGGCTTGGGGACGCTGGGGGGCCGCGCACGTGGGAACCCCGCTGGGCTAACGTCCAGGGACTTCTTCCTTGGAGCTGGTTCATTCCAGGGTCTAAGTCTCTTCCACTGCGGAAAGGTGAGTCTTTCACTCCATCACCAAAGATCCTTATGATGTATTCTGTTTGCACTCCTGGTACCAAATGGGCTGTTTGTAATGATAAAATGTTTGTTTTATTTCCCTCACTAGCACAATGGAGTATGTGTATGTTAGGATGCACCTTGACTGTTCTCTGCTTGTCTGATCATTTGTCTTAGCTCTGTGAATAGCCACACTGAGAACTTTCTGTAAAGTTCTTATCTCTGCCATTCTGCAGAGGAAAAGAAGAATCTTCCCCTTCACCCTCTGCCTGGCAGTTTCACCTATGGATATTTTTTTTTCTTTGAGAATGAGAAAAGTAGAGTTTGGGAAAGTGGAGTTTGCGCATCACCTTACTCTGTCATGGGTCTAAGGGGAGCTTGATGGAGGATACTAGAGAAAACAATCAAATGTTACATCTAAACAGCACTTAGACTCAGGGTTTTGTATCTATCCCAACGTTCACCCCATGGTCAGACATGAAAAAAGATGAGGACCGGGAGACAGGGCAGAGAAGGTGAATGATCACAGGCTGCCAGATCAGATGGTGGACAGCAATGTAGATTCTAGGGGGCAAAAGACTTTCTGTGAATACTAGCTGATTTGTTGATTTTCAGGCAGGACTCGCACATACATTGGTGTGTTTAGAGATGGCAGTATCCCTTATTTCCCTAGCGTCACCTCTCTCTCCTCACCTCTTGGCACAGAAAGTCCTGAGAAACAACTTCCTTGAGGGCTGGGAAGCCTACCTCCCTGGTGGATTCAGGAGAGAACACAGGGCTTCCTCTGGCTCATTTAAGTTGTAAGGGGCTCAAGTTTTAAAGCCAAAGATAAGTTTTGTCTTCCCACCGCCATGTACATGCCCATGTGAGAAATATGTATAATCCCCCTGAGCCTTACTTTCCACTTCTCTAAAATGGGGACGCTGACTTCTATTGTTTTTATGAACAGAAAATGAAGTATAAAGAGATCATGGTGAGTGTTCGATAGCTGCAAGTTTGGACTGTCATTGTCATTGCCAAAAACTGCCATCACACTAGAAGCTGAAAGAGGCACTTAGTCAGTCTTGGACTGTTTTTTCACACTCTCTTTTTGCCCTCGCCCCTTGTCTTGCCCTGTCTGAGGATGTCTCCTACGCGGGCAGGTCAGAGACTTGGCTGTATTTTACAAGCAGGAGGTTATGTTGGCACAAGTTGGGAGAAAAGGTAGCAGCCCCAGGGCTGGATGTTAATGTTGAGTTCTCATTCCAGAACGTCATGAGGTCTGGAGATTCTAAAGTTGTCAGCTCTAAAATGCGATGGTGCTGGGAAACTCTTTGGATGTCCTTTCTGCCCAAAGGGAAAGCAGGATAAGGAGTCTGCCTGCTGAATGAATGCCTCTTTTTCATGTTTTGCTGGGTCATTTTCCCCCTTTTTATGGAGCATTCCCAGGTGTACTTTAGAAGTGAAAACTGCTGCCCACCCCAGCTAATTCCCTACCTTGTGCTGAGATATAGCAAGCCCCGTTCAGAGCTGGGGCACGATTTTTTTCAGTCCTAAATAAACTAGTGGAAAGTTTGCTGGCATCACATGCATCTAAGCCCTTTGCAGGAGATACAAGTTAGTGTGCTCTGGCCCTGGGCTTTTCAGGAAAGTGACTGTTTAGGGCAAGAAAAGGGTTTGTAGTATGAATATTTTCTGGTCTAGTCAAACAATGTGAATTGAATAAAGGCTGAAAGAAATGTCACCAAGCTCTACAGTCATGAAATATTCTTTTCCTCTCTGCTTTATTTTAAAAACCTAGCTTCCCTATCTCATCTCCCATGAACCCGTTCTTCATAGCCTCCCAAGAAGTTACTAACTGTGCAGCCTTCAGCTTTGTCATTCATATTAAGAGGGTGGTAATCTATATCTCACGTGGTTCTGTGGCATTCAAATAAGATAATACTTGTAATAGCAGTTGGCACAGAGTATGGGTTCAATAAATGGCATTTTTTGGTGTTTCTGCTTGTCAATTAATGGGGACTTGTCTAAGATTAGCAGTCTAAGGTGATTTTTCAAACTTACTTCTAACAATGGAATCCATCAAATGAATTGAGAGAAAAACCCCGGTATAGGACAGGTAAATGTGGGGCTGCTTTGGTTGAAGTAGAATTAGAGGATCTGCAACGTATTCGATTGTACTTAGCCTCAGGAACATTTCTGCAGAATTCTGAACACACAAAACACAGTAAAAAAAAACATGAAGTCAGGTAATATGCATTTAGGCTACAATCTGTACTGTAAGCAGGGTTTCATCTCCTCTGAATGGCCTTCCATAATGGGAGTAAGAGCAATTCCCCAAGTAATGCCCACACTGAGTATGTGTGGAAAGTTCAAAAGGCTTAGCACAGGCTGATAATTTCAATTAATTTTAATGATAATTATAGCCAAAATAGATGGTGAGCCTACTCTCTACTCTAAAGACTCTTTGTGGGTGTCATCTCACTAGACATCTTCAACATGTCTCTGTAAAGTAGACTGTAATGCTTAGACAAAGAGATAGCTTGGAATACAGAGATTAAGTGACTTTTCCAGAGTCCTAGAACTTGGACTGATGGGACCACACTTTAGACCAGGTCTCCATGGTCACCAAATCAGAGACACATTTTGCTATGTTCCCTCTGAACACTTCTGCCTCCTGCACTGCCTTTAGAAGGAAAACACTTCCTTTCTGACTAAATATGCCCCTCTAGGCAGACTGTGGCCACCCATAAATACAGCAGTAGCCTGATCATATAACCAGAATGGAATTTGGAAAGGGAATTCAAGCTGACAGAATGAAAAACATATCCCTCTTAATCCTGCCCTTTCTAATGCTTACAATGAACTAAGCACACCTATTCTCTCCTCCTCTAGATTTCTATAGACATCCAGTCATGCTTTCTTATAGGGAAAAAAAAAATCCATCCAGCTGGCCTAAAGCACAAGCCCCTCCTTACTGAACCCACTTTCACTTGAAAAGAAGAAGTAGATTACAAAGATTTCCTTGGTCCTAAATATACAATCCCTTTATAATGATAAACACAAACACACGAAATTAATATAGAAGACTATGCATCCATATGTGCTAGGAGGGTTTGTCCATGGTTTCTCACCAAATTCTCATTCTCACATTGCAAGTTATAAATTGCTAGCCCCATTTTATAAATAGAAAAGTTGAGGCTCAAGGAAGATAAATGTCTCATCTGTGGTTTTTTCATAAGTAAAGGGCAAAGTTGGCTTTGGACTCAAGCTTTCTAACTAAAATGCTCTTTCTTTTTCTACTATACTATCTTACCTGCTGAAGTCAGGCTGGGTTGATTGAGTATAGAACCTTAAACAGTGTCTTTGGTGAATGAACAAGATGGTTTAAAAGTCCTAGATTAGCATTGGTATCTAATGATTTTACAGAATATCCCTGTATCATTTTTTCATGGTGTTCAGAAAGGTCAACTCACGGTGGTGCAGCCCTCTGCCTGGAAACAGAAAAGTTCAAATTTCAGCCCCAGGAGAGAGAAGAATAAAAACTAGAGGTAGCAGTCAGGTCATTTTTGTTGATTGTTCATCCCAGAAAAGTAGGCACACACTTCTCTGAGCTATACAGATGGGAGCTGTGACTGGGAAAGCACCCTTTCTGAGATCCAGGTGAGTTGAACATCTGTTCTTAGAAGGACTAATTGGGAGATAAAGTGAAATCAACATGCCTCAGCCTCAAGGCAGTCAATCCCAAGATAATCAGAAAATGTTTTCAGGCTCTGAGCCACAAATTCAGCCTAAATCTCAGAGAGACTTCTCACTCTAAGATCACAGGGAATCCCCTTGAATCTAATCCTGGGCTAGTTTGAACACCTTCAACATGTGGGAAACATTAAATGAAGGCTCCCTTCCAAGGAGGAAAATCCCCTCAAAGCATAGTGAAACTAGACTCCTTTAAGCTCCAGGCAATAGTTTTTTCCAACACAAAAGACAGCTATGGCCTTACCTACCTTTAAGGGACCGTACATACCTTGTGACTTTTTTTATAGAGAAGAGTCTACAGACCTACATGATTCTAACCCTGCTGAATAGAAGTTTTTTCAGGCATTCCCTAAAGCCTTAATATCCCTTTTCAGTGTCCTTCTCCCTTATCTCATATTTCCAGCCTCTTCTCAATTTTAGAAACAAACTTGTGTTTAACACTATCCTTGTTCTTTTGACCCTCAACCATGGAAGGAAAGCAAAATGCCCACACTGGAAGCAGAATGTGAATGGAAATTTCCTTCCATGTGTACTTTTAGTCTATTTGTGAGTGGAAATTTAAAAGAAAAATTATCTTATGCCAAGTTGTCTCATATTTTTGAAATTTCCTAAAGTTCACAGGTCCTCAATTATGTAGCCATGGTGACTCAAATAACTCTGATTGATCCTTTGACCCTCCCTAAACACCCTATGTCAAGAGCCAGAGGTATTTCATAAGCTCTAAAAATAGACAGCTTT